AACACGGCCCCACATGTCTACGTCACTGTGTGGGAAGATTTGCATAACGCCGCCCAGATGTTCACGCAAAGAAAGAAGGCGTAACTTTTATTCTCGCTGTAGTATTGTTGCTGCCGCCATGTCGTGAAGGCGCTGTGTGTTTCGTTGTGAAAGCGAAACTACTTTGTTTGGCCTTCCAAAAGAGGACGATATCCGCTTCGTCATGCCTAGAGCTGATCCGTGCTGGTCGCTGAGGAAATACATCAACTTTGCGCTGTGGATCGCCGGATCGGCTTTCACCGTGGACGAAGTGGAGTCCAGCCCGGGGTCGTCACATGTGGTTGCCGCAAGCCCGCCGGACGCTCCTTCGTCGAATCCGCCGGCCGCGCCGTTCTCTAGCCCGCCCGCCTCTGTTCACTCAAGCCGGCCTCCGCATACTCTAGGCCGCGGCTCACTCTAGGCCTCCGGCCTCCGCTCACTCAAGGCCGCGGTGTGTGATGCTGTTTCGTTGTGAAAGCGAAACTACTTTGTTTGGTCTTCCAAAAATGGACACGACTAGAAATCAGTGGTTAAGTTGTATTTACAACACTGTTCCAGAACAGTTTAACCCAAATATTCAGATGTGTCCAGCGCATTTTAATGAGGACTGTTTCCTGATCCTGGTAGAGTAGACTATAATGCCGGCTGTTCTGACTCACAGACTGTAAGTTTTTTTATATATAAAGAATTTGCCACTGACATTTCAAATGCGAGTTTTGAGCAGTGTAGAGTAGCATTTGTAGTTTATCATTTCTCCGATCACAAATGCAGACATGGTTTTATGTTTACACGGCGCGATGCAATGCAACACGTAAAAAGACAGTATAAGTCATTATAATCCGTAATTATGTTCCCACTGGATGCAACAAATGCTTCGTTTATAATGGGTTTTAATGTTTTTGTCTCGTCGCTCCGGCCGGACAGGGCATCACAGCATGTTAAGGGGCGTAACATTTCCGTCACACGCTTGAGGTATTCGGCCAATCACAATGCACTGGATAGCTGGCCAATCAGAGCACACCTCGCTATTCAGACCGATGAGCTTTGTAAAAATCAACACGTTTCAGAAAGGCGGGGCATAGAGGAGAAACAATAATGTACAGTATGTGGAAAATAATGTTTTTTGAACCTTAAACCGCATAAACATTTCATTACACCAAATACACAAAATAATGTTCTTTTTAGCAACATCATATGACCCCTTTAAAAAAGATTTTCTCAGAATGATTTCAGTGTTTTGAAATCATTCTGTGTTTTATTGTATTTACAAAATACAGAAAAATTAGTAAACATGTTAACTTATTTAATATTATAAAAGCTTTCCCGATTCAGCAGGAATAGACGCAGGCAATACCGTTTCAAAATCAAATACATTCTTCTATTTGCATAGCTACATTTTCAAGATTTTCCATTTTACATGTTTTCAGTGCCTTTGACTTCGTTTTACAGCACATAGCATAGCACACAAATATGCTAAATCTAGAAAAAAGTTTCAAAACAAACATACATGATATGCTATTAAGGCACAGCACACAGTATACCTAATAAACATACATTCAACATTACGAAAAGACAGACATCTTGCCATGATTGTCCTTGATGAATCAGACTTAGCACTACTAAAATCAAGTTTCCTGTTGTACAGTCTCTTCTAAAATGATAATTTATATAAAATGTGCTTGATAAGAAATTGGTTATTGAAATGAGATAGGTTTGATGAAATGTGGTACAAAAAGTCTTTGTGCATCCTTGTTGTTTGCAATGTACTGTAAACAGACTTATCCTTGCTAAGGGCAGTGCATAACAGTGCACATAGGGAGCAATATAACTCATTCATTATTAAATGGCATTATCAGTGTCTTTCTTACGAATGGCTCGTAACAAAAAATATAGCGCCATAATAAGAAGGACGCAAAAGAGGGCGATCAGAGCACACCAGGCACTTGAGCGCAGCGATTTCCTCTGTAAAACATCTTCAGCAGGCAGCAGGTTGCTAAGGCTTAGCATGTAGCCAAGGGACCAGCCGACAGACGTGTCTCCTGCCTGCAAACCAAAGTAACATGTTCATATTTTCTTGACCTAGTCGGGTCCATTTATTCACCAATCTTTAGGGAATAGTTCACCCAAAAATAGAAAATTTACTGAAAATACTACTCACCCTCAGAATATTCCTCACCCTCAGGCCATCCAAGATGTAGATGAGTTTGTTTCTTCATCGGAACAAATGGAGAAATGTAACATTACATCACT